GGGTGACCTTGCTGATGGGACGGGGGAGACCTGACAAACGAGGACTATAGGCTGCTTAGTTTTTCTTATTTAGTCTAATTCTTTTGTTAGGGCCTAATGTTGTGGCCAATAAACAGATTATGTACCTTTGACTAATTGGGAGATTTTTTCTTGTTGTTAGTTATGCCTCGGGTTAGGTGTCTATTTGAGCTTTATCCCATTTGCTTAGAATCATTTAGCTTGAATAATAAACTTGCCTCGTGAAGTAGTTCATGAACGTTGTTGCATTTTTTGAGATTGGTTTATCGTTAATTTGATGAGGTTTGTAGCTTGATTTTATAAGTTTATGTTCAAAGGAAGTTGGCAAGTTGTAATCGGGGCTAAAACTAATTAGTTGGGTAGTTCATGTGACCTAGAGGTGCGTGAGATTTCTGGGTTGTTACAACTCATGAACTTCAAGGCTTTCCTCCAGCAGCGATCAAAGCATGAGTTGGAAATTTGCATCACCTTCTCCTTCACTCGTATGCTGGAAGGTTCGACCTTGAACCTCATCTCGATGTCGGAGGTGGCACCCATTATGGCCTCCGGGTTGTTAGTGAGCCTGGCGAAGCAACTACCCCACACGTCAGTCGTGACTTCCTCAACGACTTCCTCGAAAGAAACGGTATTCCTTTTCTTTTTCTTGGATTTCTTTAGGGAAGATCTTCGTCGGACCTCCCAGAGAGGGGAGACATCAAGGATTTTTTAATGAGAAGAAGTTTCAGGCCTTTCGCCCCCTTCAGAGGACCATCCTTCTTGTGCGTCTCCACCACCTTGACCTCAGCAGGAAGGTCAACAACGATGGGACTTGGCTCCGGCCTCGACCTGGCAATTGCCCTTGACTAGGATGCTTACGTTTTACATCTTGGACGAATCTGCAAACCATGGTTGTAGATTCGAAAGAATGAAAAGATGTTAGCATATGATCCAAGAAATGAAGCAAGGGACGGTCCAAGGTCGACTTACCTAGCTCTAAGTTCGACCTTTAAGCTTTTCAGGGAACGAGCATCGGATTGTAATCCAACAATCTGAATGCAAGAAGTAGCTTGTCAGTTAGTAGTGTGCCGACCTTCTTGCGACTCTTGAACTTGTCCTTATAGAATTTCAAAATATCGAATGTTGATTAAGACAGTCGAGGGACAGGTCTACCGGCAACTGCGAAAGTAAAAATGATAGGTTAAAGCACGAGGAGAATCAACACTCGAAATAACAGAAGACATAACCTCTTGCCTATGTTCCAAAATCTACAGGGGACGTTGTAAAAGGGCTGGTCAGTCTCGTCCTTGGCCAACCACTCTCCAGATGCATATAACCATTTTCCTACCCACTTCTTTATGGAGGTTGGACCTTTAAGGATACCTCCAGCACCTTTTCTAGCACATAAATAATGACGGTCGGGCTTTTTGGAGATACGTTTTCCCTCAAAACAAGCCAAAAGTTAGTCGATCCTAAGGAGGTCTAACCCTTCTACCTCACGACATCTCAACTAGAATGAAAGCGCTAAACCAAAGGCAACACCCCACCCATTGGGGGCCACCTGGGCGGGAGTAAGTCCAGTTCGGACCAAGAATGCCTACACTAAAGGATGAACAGGCAGACGAAAGCCATACTCGAACATCTTCAAGTATAGAGTGACGCACCCCTCTAGAGGGTCATCAACATGCTCCCTTTCCTTGGGAAGCCTTAGGACAATGTTGTCCGGAATGTTATACCTCTTACGAAGAGGGTCAAAATAGTTCTCTGACATTTGGGAAGGGAACTCCAACCCCTGGCTCAAGGTGGAGGTATCACTATCATCTCAATCGTCATAAAAAAACCTAAAAAGTATCTATCTCCTCCTTTAGTTTGGAATCTAACATTCTTGCAAATTCTTCTACAAAGTCGGCCTTCTTAGGGGAAGGGCTCCGACTCTAATCTACCCTATCAGATGAACTATTACTAGACGAACTAGAAGAACTCGACATTATCTAAAAAAGAAAATGCAAATAAAATCAGAAGAATGAGACCGACCTAGGGTAAGTTCCGAGCTGCTCAAGTCGGACTCCAAGTTCACAAAAAGCGTAAAAAGTGGATCTGAACCCCGAGCTATATATAGCATTCCGGAATTTAATCTTTGCTGTACATGTCTGAAGAACAACGACCCAGATCATGCAGAAGGTCGAACGGCGGAAGCACTCGAGTATGCGACAGCTGTTGGTTCCGTTTTCGAGGTTCTCCAACGGTAATATTTTACACCACGAACTCGGAAGTTACTCGTTAGCCGATTTCCCGAAAAATAACTTCTCTGCCAGGTCGATCTCGAACCTGACAGAGAAGGGGCCAATGTTTGGGGAAGGAGATTGGAGTGCCACATGGAGGACGATGGTTCGCCAAAAGATATATCTCCGTTTAAATACCCAGGCAGCTCCACCTCAGCCCTACGAGGTGGAAGACTTAGCTGTTAATTCTTTCATCAAACTAGCAACATCTTGGGTAAACTGTCCGGGTTCGACCTGCGCGACCCGACAGGTTCGATCTCAACTCCGACCAAGGTAACCGCCTGTCATAAGGCCTGTCGGAGCCTATACCTATAAATAGAGGGTCCCATTTCCATTCCAAGTATCGAATTTCTCCTCAAACCTTATATTGAGTCCGAGCTACTTACTAATTTGAGTGTCGGAGATTTTGCCCTCTTGTATAGGTCTTCTTGTTGTGACTGAAGTCAGAGCTTGGACCGAGTTCGGCCTTGACCAAGGTTTGACTTTGTGCATTTCTCGGCATAAACAAGATCTTTGTTTTAATCTTTTAAACGTGCGTGATTATATTTTCTACCGTACTTTACAAGGGAACACTTGTCCAAAAATCAAGTTTTAAGGGTAAAGTTTTAAAAATTTCCCTTAAAATTTAAAAAATACACTTTACCATGCCAAAATAATAATAGTTGAATAACTAAAAAAAATGAGATTATTCAAGAATTCACATTGAATGTCGCTCCCATAGCGTTCATCTCTTAATGTCCTATCTTCTGTTTCGAGCAAGAAAAGGTTTGCGTCATGCAAGTTAGGTTCTGGCTGTATTGATTGCAAGTGTTCAAGTATTAGTGCAATTATTCGAAATGGGTGGGGCTTCGGTTGCCGGCTCTCCTATCATCAGGTCGCCAACTTTCTTGACCTTCCGACACTAAGCAAGCATCTACATGAGCTGGGTTCAGAACCTCGTTTCTTGACCTTCCGACACTAAGCAAGCATCTACATGAGATGGGTTCAGAACCTCGTGAGACGATTTAGTCCATATCAAATTAATAAAATTGTGATAATCATAAAATTTTAAGGTAAAAAGAAAAAGAAAAAGCGAAAATCTTTACCAAGAACGTTTGAAATTACAGATATAACCTTCTCGTACATCTCACGCTTCCTTCAGTTCAGAACAGCGTTCGTTAATCGTTCTCCTTCTCCCCCTCCAGCTCAAAACTAAACTCACTGGACTTACCAAATCAATCTCTGCTCCTTCCAACTCTAGGGTTTTTTCACCATCTTAATCTTCCAATTCCAAATTCCAATTCCTGTCCGGATTTTCCCCCAAATCTCTCACTTCATGATCCTACTCCAGATTCTCTCTTCTCCATCCTGCCCGCACCTGCGACATCCTTGAGTTTTCTTCTTCGATCCCTCACTGCTCCGGATTATTCTACTCCCAATTGGGTACATCCAAGATTTCGAGGATTCTGATTTCTATTCACTGAGCTGAGTGGGGTTTTCGATTTTAAGGTATGGATGTAGATGGAGGGAATAAGCGCGTTTTTCAGAGGCTGGGTGCGCCTTCGGGAGATGCGAGGAATCAGAAGGTCTGTTTCCATTGGAGGGCGGGCAAATGTAATCGCCATCCGTGCCACTTTCTTCACCGAGAATTAAATGGCCCCCCGCATGCGGCTTCGAATGGAGCTGCTGCTGCCGCCCCCAAGAGGGGTCACGGGTTCGCCTCTGATGATTCCAGTGTATCTGCTCCCCGACGGAGTACCAATTTTAGCGGCGGCTCCACGTGGGGACGAGTTCATGGTGGTGGTAATAGAGTAGTTAGAAAGACAGAGAAGCTCTGTAATTTTTGGGTTCAGGGGACCTGTAGTTATGGTGACAAGTGTAGATACTTGCATTCTTGGAGTTTGGGGGAAAGTTTCTCACATCTAACGCAGCTCGATGGGCACCAGAAGGCAAGTGGATATATATCTACAACTTGAATTACTATTTATGCAGAGAATTATGATTGTCTCGTTCTAGATTGCTTCACTGCAAGTCTGGGAATTAATATTTTTGTGACTTCTATTTTTTAATAGGCTGTAACTGGGATTGCTTTTCCATCTGGGTCTGACAAGCTTTATACTGGTAGCAAAGATGAGACTGTCAGGGTATGGGACTGCCAGTCCGGGCAGGTTTGTTACTGACCTATTAACTTGACCTTCTTCTTATATCCTAGTTCTATTTCTTTCCTCTTTTATATTTATTAGAATCATTTCGTTAGAAAACTGAAAGAAAAGATAATATTCTCTACAATACTAAGGCCTATTATATAAGTGAAAGACCTCCTATTGAAAGAAAGCCAGCATTTTGTGGCTTAATGCCTTTGGAGCTAATTTATGAGAAGTTTGGTTTGAAAAGAATGGAAGAATTTTCTTAGGAACAGAAAGAGAGGACAAAATCTTTTGGGAGGAGTACATTTTTGTTTCCCTCTCTTGGAGTACCTTACATAATGCTCTCTGTAATTATGACATTTATTTTTAATTTTCTGCCACTTGGGGATGACTTTTTTAATCCTTCTTTTGACTTTTGAGACGCTTGCCTCTTTTTTTCCCTAAATAATCACTTAAATTTTGTTTACTATAAAAAATGGTGTAGGCTAGTTATTTTTAGAACTTATTCAGAATTGAGAGCAATTTTATTGCTTAGAGATTACATGAACATTAACGGGATAGTGCTATATTTAGAAAGCCAAGTCGTTGTATTGTTCAAAGGAACTACTGGAGACTAAGTCCTCGATGTTTCTTCTTGGATGATGAAGGGTAAGCTAGGAGCGATTGGAGAGGTCATGTAAGGTGGTTCCGTGCTTGCATTTTTATCATAGATGTTTTTAGTGGATTTCTTAGAGGGAGGGGGGAAGGCAAGTAACTTGGTGGAAGAATTTAGAGTAGGTAGGGGAAATCTTCACACTTACTCGCAATTATCTGTTGCTAGGAAGGAGGAGTCTTTCATTGATACTAATATAACTGTTTCCAATTTTTAGGAGAATTTGGGGCTTAGGATGTTGTRTTGCTCTATTAGTCTATTACTATATTTCCCAAGTAATCCTTTTGGATTACTTGAAAAGAAAGGAATCAGAGGTTCTTTAAAGATAAGGAGATTTCTTTTGATCGGTTCTTACGATGCTATAGTTTTTTTTTTTTTTTGGTATTACTTGGTGTAAATGCTCTCCTCTTCTCCATCATTTTAGTTTCTCTTCTCTTGGATTGTTCTCCCCCTCAGTTGTAATTTCATACCATCAATGAAATTGTTTGTCATAAAAGGAAAAAAACAATTTCCCACAATTTATTTGGCTTTGTCTTTAGTACAAAATTCTAGGCATGTGTTTTCTTTTTGGACCTGGGTGTAGAAAAGTTTAGGAGGTAGGTGTCTCATGAGTAAAGGAAAAGCTTTTTTTTCAACGATGGCAGACTTGCCCCTTTTAAGTCTCTCGTTGCAATGCCCCCTTGTTTTTTCCATGGTCAAAATGCTGGTTATTTTCAGGAACACTAAGAAGCTCATAAGAAGCCCTATATAAGATGGTTTCCAATGACTTGTTTATTTGAGGATTTATTTTTCAGTTTCCTAATCCCGCTAAGTGATTTTATAGAACCATCTAGCCCCCAAGGGGGGCCCATTGGCAGAGGCATGTGGTTTTCGAGTAACTCATACTTAAAGGTCACGTGTTCAAAACTTTGGATGAGCTTAATAAGGAAAATAGTAATTGTGCTTTAGCCTACCGGTTTAATATCACATCTTCGGAGGGCTAAAGCTCTTAAGATTAATCTCACATCTTAAGTTCTGAAGTCAAGCTGATGATGCTTTTAATTTGTTCTTACAGTTCTGAGTAACTTACTCCATTAGTCATTTTAGGGTTTCCAAACGTTGCTTTTCTCAGTTACTAATTTTTTTTGACTTTGACATGATATAGAGTTAGTACTATGACAAGTTTTCTTAATTTTCTTGCATTTCTTTGCAGTGCATGGCCGTTATTAATCTTGGTGGAGAAGTTGGTTCCATGATTGCTGAAGGCCCTTGGGTATTTGTTGGCATACCTCATCTTGTTAAGGTGAAATGGAATCCATCTTATATGAACTTCTATTGAATGACGAGCTGTAGCCTATAGCTGTGTTTATTGTACACAAAAGATAAACTTTGACCGTGTTTTAGCCTACTGGATATACTTTAAAAGATATATATATATTTTTCCTGTTAAGGATATGCGTTAATGTCATTGCCAATGTACGGTGACGTGAACTAACTTGGACATTTTCATATGGTTTAAAGGCATGGAACATTCAGACTTCAGCTGATCTGAGTCTTAGCGGACCCGTTGGCCTAGTTTATGCCCTTGTTGTGGGTAATGATTTGCTCTTTGCTGGTACACAGGTAATCTTGTTAATTCTGAATTGTAACTTTGAGAATTTAAGCGATGAACTCATCTCCATAATCCAAATTCTTGTTTGTTGGGTGTTTTATCAATAAATTATATATGTATTTTTATTTTTATTATTTTTTTTATAAGAAACCTGAAACATATGTAGTATAAACAAAGAGCAGCCTAAGGGCTGGGGCAGAGGAAACCCCCAACCAAGGAACACTAAATGATATTGATTGACAAATTTGCGGCTTTTTCATCTCAGTATTCCCTTAAAAGGAAAAAGGTGAATTGTGGATCAATGATATTAAAGCTCTTGTTTGGGATGGGAACTATGGATGAAAAGAAATAGAGAAGCATTGGGAGACTCTTTGTATATGATAGAATCATTTTGGGGAGGGTTAATGTTTTTGTTTCAAAATATATAAAGATTTTTGTAGTTTTCCTCCTTTTCTAAATTGTGCATATTGGAATAGTTTTGTCCAAGCTTCTTCGTTTCTTTGAGGATGTTTTATCCTCTTTTTGTATCTTTTTCATTGTTAATTAAAGTTGTTTCTTAAAATAAATTATAAACTTATAGCTTTTTAATGTTCCGTGCTGCTATGACCTCTTAAGTTGTAAGGCTGTAGCCTCTTATTTTCTCTATGCTCCTCATATTTGTATGGATATGGTTCCTTCTCATATTTTAATTGATTTCACTTCGATAAGGGGTTACAGTCTTCCAAGTTAAATTTTAATTTTTACTCTTCTGTACACAGGATGGGTCTATATTGGCATGGAAATTTAATGTTGCAACCAACTCCTTTGAGCCAGCTGCATCACTCAACGGCCACACTCTTCCTGTTGTTTCTTTAGTTGTGGGAGCTAATAGACTCTACTCTGGTTCCATGGATCATTCTATTAAAGTGAGTTGAACTCTAGTATGTGTTATCTTTTCTCTACTTCAATTTGTTTTTACAATTTTGATTCTTTCTCCTTTATTTTAGGTATGGAGTCTAGAATCTTTGCAGTGCTTACAGACACTGACTGATCATACGTCAGTGGTAATGTCTGTACTTTGCTGGGAGCAGTTCCTTTTGTCATGTTCACTAGACAAGACCATAAAGGTTGAACTCATTTACATGCTGAGTGTCTATACATGAAGGTGCTAGTTTGATACTGTATTTTTCTGGACTAAAAAATTATGCAACGGTTCAACTTGTCTTGCCTGCAGGTTTGGGCTGCTACGGAAAGTGGAAACTTGGAAGTAACTTACACTCACAAAGAAGACCATGTATGTTTGTGGTTTTCTGTTTGGTTAATATTATTTTTTTAGATAAGGCACAATTTTCATTACTAAAGAAAGTGTACAAAGGATGAGAATAAGGAAACCTCTGAAAGGCCAAGGAGACTAAGTTCATATACTTTCTTATTGCCGCATTGCATTTTTATAGTGTGTTTTACCTAACTTTTGAAATAAAGAGTGCTTTTTAAATAAATAAAAAATGCCAACCTAAGCCTAGCTTCACTTGACCAAAAGGTCGGAGGTTCCAATTCGCATCCTCACATGTTGAACTCAACAAACTGTTTCTACAAACACTTCTAGAAGAATTATTAATTTAGCGTGGGTTTACTGTTTAGTATAGTTTCTTTAGTTATTTTAGATAATTAACAGCAATTTTTTAAAAATCTACGGTATTTGGTGATAAATAAAAAATTTTTACAAATCGGATTGTAGAACTGTTTTTGAAGAAATACTTGACAAAATATTATCCAAAAAATGACGTTAAAGTGATTGACACTCTTGTAGTTTAAGCATCGAACATGATTACTAAAAAATTGGTTGATAAGTGCTTAAAATAAAAGATGTGTCAATCACTTTTATTTGATCCAAAAAAAGTTGTCATTTTTGGTATGTTGCCTGGACTATTCTTAAATTCAGATGCATCTTCCTAATTTTATGAGCAATTTTTAGAATTACACTCAGACGGAATTGATTTGACTTTAGTGTTAGCCAAGAATTTAGAGTTAGGATTGGCTAATAGTATAGCATTGGCACATATAAAGTATCATCTATTAAAAGTGGGAAATATTTCCCCATAAAGGGGGAAAATTTCAGACCTCAGAAATTATAGGCTGCCTTAGGTTACAGTTGCAACGAAATTCATTTTTAGATCATATAATGGAATGATTTCATTCGGACTATTCAATCAACATGTTCAATTCATTTATGTGATGTAATGTTGCAGGGTCTGCTTACCCTCTGTGGGATGCACGATTTAGATGGCAAGCCTGTTTTGTTATGTTCGTGCAATGACAACTCAGTTCGCCTTTTCGATTTGCCATCGTGAGCTTTCTTACACTCATGGTTCAACTAAACTTCTTTATTTGGTTCTGGATTCTTGGTTTTGTTTCTCTTAATACATGTTGACAATAATGTTTTCAGTTTTGTTAACCGGTACCAATTTGAACTGTATTGTTGCTGATAGATTCTCAGAGAGGGGTAAAATATTTTCCAAGGAAGAAATTAGATCAATCCAGGCTGGTCCAGGCGGCATCTTCTTTACTGGTGACGGGACCGGGCTAATGAAAGTGTGGAAGTGGTTGGCCGAGCAACCTGCAAGCATGTGAAATGTTACGAGCAAAACACAGTGTAATGTAATTTGGTCTTCTCTTCATCGTCTTTTATGATAATTTTATACCTTTTTTTGAGGGGGAGGGGCTGGCTGGTTCCTTTGTAATGTACAAGTTGCAGAGGAAGTAGAGGTTGAAAATTCCATTTTTGATTTGTTAGTTTTTTAGGGATGCGTCTGCTGTCTGCTGTATTGTGTGCAATTAATTAGTGGTCATAAAGCAGCAGATTTAGATGAAATTGTTACACGAGGATCAGAGTTTATATTTGCAGAGTGGTGGAAAGTTATATGTGCTCATTAAGAAGAAATATAGAGCTGAATAAGATTCGCTAAAGAAGATGATTCCAATTCTTTCTCTGTTTTTTCTTTTAGAATATCGGTAAATCCAATACGGAGATTCGAACTTCTTATTGTTTAAGAAGCGGAGATGTCGATGTTTTAATTACTAAACTATACTTAAAAGACGTGGCATGCCTGGTCCCATTTGGTCTTGAATGTAAATGTATAATTGCTTTAGGGTAAGTACAATATATAATCAAAGGTTAGTTTGTTTTCTAATAGCGTTACTTAGAGGGCTTAAATCTTATTATTTGTTTAAAATTGATTTGATATTTAGAAAAGTTTGACTGATTTAAATTTTTTATGCCTTAATGAAAAACGTCTGGTTTTTTAAAAACCTGTTTCTCTAACACTTTTTGCTTACGTTGCACCTTTAAGTGTTGGCACAGTGGCAAGAGACTTGGATGTTGAAATCTATGATCCGAGTTGGAGCCTTTATTTGTCTAGGAAAGAACACTTTGTTGCTGACGTCATCGTGAAATTATGCATTTGCACTTCTCCACTAATTCTCCTTTCCCCACCTTCACATTTCTCCCTCTAGTCACTGTCTGGATGTGAAACGAGGACCCCTCATCCCTAGCTCGTTGTCCCTTCCCTTGTGTCTTGTGTCTTAGCCCTACTGTATGCTGATCAGGTTTGTTTTGAGTGATTTTTTTCTCTCTTTGCTCATTTAGACAAATCAAAGTTAGGCATTCTCATTCTCTAAATATTTTTCCGTTGTCAAATACAAGCCTCTCATTCTATCATCTGAGTTCCACATTGTCTCCATCGCCTCCAACCTCATATGCCTCTATGTCGACTTTAACGACCTTATATGGGCTGTCTCTATTTTCAATGTGTTCCTTGAACCTGAACCCATAGTGTAGAACTCGATTTCCAAACCTCTATGCTGAATTTAACAACCTTCCCAGATTCAAGTGAGAGTGAGATGAGATTCGAGCGAGAGTGATCGAATAGGACTCGGGCGATAAGCACTAGAATAGAATCCAAGCAATGGTGATAGTGATAGAATTCAAGTGATAGAAACATAATAGGATCTTACGCGATAACGAAAGCTCGATAGCTTTTTAGAAATTGTCTTCAGCTTCTGTTCTTCGGCCTTTCAAAATTTGATATAGTGGCTTTTTAGAGAGAGGGAGAAAGAGAAGAGAAGGGGTTTCAAGCCAACAGTTCGTGTGAGCGTTGTGGAATTGATCCGAGTGATAGCGCCTATCGTGAGTGTTAGCAATAGCTATTCGAAACTGTTAGAGGCTTCTTTTCTTTGACAGTTTGAAATTTGATTTGGTAGCTTTTCAAAGAGAGAGAGAAGGGGGTGCTGTTCAGAATTTGATCTGGTAGCTTTTAAGAAAAGACATTGGATCTGTAGCTTCTTTGGGAGAGAGAAGAGAGAAGAGAAGGGGTTTTTTCTTGCTACTTCTTGTATTGGCATGTGCCATACATATTTTTGATGGAGCAGAACTTTAATTTTGAGAATTTGATATTACTCAATTTAGCTCTAAGATTTTACTGCTATGGAGGCGTTTGTTATGTTGATATTGTAATAACAAGTTTGGGAATAGAAAGTTTGAGAATAATCATATTCGGATTTTGATGCATAAAAATGATCTTGGGGTGACAATGAAGTTTCAGAATCCAAGGCCTTGGATTAAGATTGCTAGGGCTAAGGTGTGTTTGTTTGGATTGTATGAGAATGGAATTTTGAAATCCAATCTTAGACTGTATACCAAATGCTCAAAAAAATGAATGAGACTAGTTAAACAGACTAATAACTATTTTTTACGTTGAAACGACCCGTATACTTATAAGTTGTCAACTAGAACATAGTTTAGTGGGTTAAAGTACATATATCTAATCATGAGATTGAGAATTCGAATCTCCACCTTCACATGCTATACTAATTAATATATATATATATATATATATATATATATATATATATATATATATAACATACATATACATATAAATCTAATACATATAAATCTAATGAGTTATAATAATGAACATTTTAATAATAAGATGACACAATCAAAATTAAGTAAATATGAAAAAACTATAGATTAATATGTAACATGTCACCACCATAGAAAATTCTAAAAAGAAATGCAAATTTATTTAAGTCGATCACAACCATGAAACTTAGGTTTCACTCAGCCTCATCATCGGGCCCGAGGCCTAAAGGCCGGCCCAGGCCCAGCCCAAGTCTGATCCAAGGTCAACGTTTGACCGGCCCGGTCCAATCCAACCCTTTTATTAATTGGATTGGATATGGATATTCATTTTTTAATTTGGGCCGGCCCGTGGGCCAGCACGTTTGAGCCGTATTTGGATTGGCCTGTAGGCCCAAAAGCCCGATCCAATATTTATTAATATTTATATTATATAATATTAATATATTATTTTATTATTTATTTATTATAAAAATAAATTAGATATGGTAAGCTATAGGATCTTTTGTTTCCCCCTACTAAATAGGTACATATATTCTACCACTCCCCAATATCTCATTTAAATCATATTACGAGTAAACTCTCCAATTTCTCAAATTCAAAATTTAAAATTATTTTAAATATATCTAATATTAGGTTGTAATTTTTAAAATTTTTTAATACAAAATTTTCTTATAAATATCAACCTTCTTTTCTTTTTCTTCACTCAAATTCTAATTCTAATTCTCAATCTCAAATCCTCTCAAGTTTCAATTCAGAGTGTTTAAATTTTTAATTTCTCTTGTAAAAAGATATAAATTTAATTTTTAAAAATAAAAAATATAATTTTTTAAAATAAGGCAACTTGAATTTATAAAATATGACATAATAAAATTTATTAGTAACATTATAAAAATAACAAAAAAATGTACCAAAAATTATATAAAAACAGATATTCTACAATTTAAAAATAAAAAACTTAGTTTGGAAATTATTTAAAATTTAAAATTTGATAATTAAAAATATATTAATATACGGGCCGATCCAAACCCAATCCAAAGGGCCGATCCAACTTTGGCTCAACAACTTAGGCCCATGGATTGGGCTATGAGCCTAGGTTTGAGTGGTTGGGCCGGCCCAAGCCCGGCCCAAACAATACTTGAGGCCCGAAAGGCTTGGGCCTAGGCCAAGCTTGGGCCATTACTTCTTTGGGCTGGGCCGGCCCGACCCAGCCTAATGATGAGGCTGAGGTTTCACTCATAAGAGAAATATTTAGCTTGAGTTAACCAAAAGCCGTTTGAACAACAAACAATTAAAATATATATATATATATATCTCGTTATCCCAATTGTTGATGCTCCGCCCTTTTCATTTTAGAGTTCCCTCCTTTGAAACACTCGCTCATTCTGTCTCTCTCTCTTAAATTAAATTATATCGTCTTTTTCATTTTTCCTCTCTTTTTCTTGATTTCTTTTTTCTCTCTCATTTTTCATTAACCCATTTTTTCTTTGTTTTCTCTCCTTCTTTTCTTCTCTTTCTTCATTCTTTCTCTTTTCCTCTATTTTGCAACGATATGAGTATTTTTCTCTCATTTTGTTTAAAATTTTTTTGGGATTTCTCTATTCCTTCTTATATTTTATTTTTTTTTTCAACCAGCAGCTTTCATGATTCTAGTGACGTTCAATAGTCATCGACGCGTGCATCAAAGTCGATGAGAGAGATTGTTCGCTAGAGAAGATGGCTTAGGAGAGGAATAGGGAAGGCAATAATCTATCAAAATACACCGATAGAGAAGAGAGAAGAGAGGGACGGAGGGAGAGAGAGAGAGAGCTAGAGGAGGAGAGAGGGAGCGAGAGGAAGAGAACGAGAGGGAAAGATCGAAGAGATTTCCTATTTGATTAGTTCTTAAGGAAAAGAAAAAATCTTACATAAATTTTAATTAAATTTCAATAACCCATTAATTAATTTATTTGGTCAAATAATTTAATTCTTAAAAATTTATTTATAAAATGAATAAAATTCCTAAATTTTTATCGATTCATAAAGTGAATAATTTCAAATATTTGAAATAAAATGTTGTTTATCTAAATAATAATAGTAATAATAAAATTTGATTAATTTAAATGAAATCATAAACAAGATTAAATGAAATATAACTAAGTAAATAAATCAATTAGTCAAATTAACAAATCATTTAGAGATTAAAGATTTCTTTTAATTAAAAATTTGAAAATTGGAATTAAGGAAAATAGAATCTCAATCTCTCTTCAATCTTTTTATTCTTATTCAAATTTGAAATTTAATCTAAATTTGTTTAATTATTTTTTCTTTTCCTTAACTATTTCAACTAATCACTTCAAAATAGGAAATCTCTCTCCCTCCCTCTCGTTCTCTTCCTCTCTCTCTCCCCCTCTTGTTATCTCAGTCTCTCGCTCTCTCTCTCTTCCTCTCGTTCTCTTACTCTTGCTCCGTCCCTCTCTCTCTTCTCTCTTCTCTCTTCTCTCTTCCCTCTTCTCTCTTCTCTCTCCTCTCTCCTCTCTCCTCTCTCCTCGGCACGTGTCAGCGGCCATTGAATGCCACTGCAATCATAAAGGTTGCTGGTTAAAAAAAATAAATAAGATAAGGAAAAGAGAAACTTAGAAAGAATGGATCAATTGAAAATGGGAGAAAAAAAATTATGAAAAAATAGAGAGATAAAAAAATTATGGAAAAAGAGTTAAAGGGAGGGAATAAGAGAGATCTACAAAATGAGTGAAATGGTAGTAAAAGTAATTTGGTATCTCAGTAAAGATTACAAAACATAGAGTAAAAAATAATACTGCCTTGATAAAATGACTATTTAACCCAAAAACCCAATCTTTAAGACGGGTATCCCTTACACGTGGAAAAATTATTTATTTAATGCAGTCATCATACTATGGCAAGCTGTCCTCTATTTGATGTAAATTCGAAAAATTTTCATGCCCATAATAATTTTGGATATAAATTTTAGATACTTTCATGGTTCTTCTCTCATAAATTTAATAGTATAAAACTGCCAGGTACATTTTTGCGTAACTATTCTAGCTTTCCATCACAAATAAA